TCTATAATTTCGAGAGTGCAATTCCAAGTTTATAGTGGAGTAACTATTGGAATTAATAGAATTAATTAATTAATTAAAGTGTTTAATTAATTATTAATTTTATTGGAGCTCGGGATTATAGGTCCATAAGTCCCCGCGTCGTCCTTGTAATTCTACCAGACACAAAGGACAAAATGAGAATTTTAGAATTATGAAATTCTAAAATTAAATACTCGAAAAATAATTAATTGAGAATTAATTATTATTTAAATAATGTGATTATTTAAATTTGAATTGTGAACATAATTTAAATTTATCCTTTTAAACTTATTTGATAAGTTGTTCAATTTAGAATTCAAATTAATTTAAGTTTGACTTAAATTCGAATTTGAATTTGAATTAAAATTGGACTACGGGATAAAGGATGATTTCTCTTCCTTCCCTATCTAGAATTGGCGCCACACAAGGGAGAAAAACCCTAGGGTGGCCGGCCACATTAGAGATAAGGTGTAGGAGATTTTTTGTTCCAAATTCAAAATAGGAGATAGAGATTTGATTCCTTTTTAAAGTTTGACTTCTACTCTTTAAATATGAGAATGATAGAAAATTGTGAATACAATTTTTGAAACATTTTTCATGCCCTAATAGAATGGTGGCCGAAATTCTCATTGGAAAGAGAGAGAGGGGAATTTTTTCTCCCAAAAATTTCACATCATGCATGCGTTGGTGTTCGTAGAAATTCGAGTGTTTCTGAAACCTATTTTGTCTCACGTGTGTCCACACACACGTCTACGTGGAATCAAGGAATCGACGTGGAAGACTTTGGTTTTCTAAACACAAAGCTTGGAGCAAGGACTGGTCGTGGTCAAAGAACTCATGTTATTATCTGAGTCGGCTTCCAGGTATTCTTCCTGATTGAGTTCTTGAAATATATAATTTAATGTGATTAATTTATTCGTGCATAAATTAATATAATCTATAGAGTATCTCAAAAGTTTTATGAAATTTTTGTTATACACGATCGCCTCCCCGCCATGCTTCCGCATCCGAATTCGATTCGGTAACCAGCAGGTGTCACTTTTATAAATCACAAGGTGGGATCTTAAAGGTGTTCAAAGGAATCATGGTGGTAATGAAAGGCATATTGCAGCAGGGCCTGTACGTGTTTCAAGGAAGAACTATTATGGGTGAATCTGTAGTGTCTGTACATGCTGGTGATCAAACAGAATTATGACACCGCAGATTGGGACATATGAGTTTAAGAGGACTTCAAGAACTGGCCAAATAAGGATTGTTGGACAAGAAGAAACTCAGCAATCTGAATTTCTGTGAAAGTTGCATCTTGGGAAAGGCACATAGATTGAAATTTTCAACAGCAGTGCATAGAACAAAGGGGACTTTGGACTACATACATTCAGATATGTGGGGTTCACCTATGGTACCATTCTCTCTTTCAAAATGTCAATACTTTATTTCATTCTTTGATGATTATTCTAGGAATGTTTGGATATATTTTCTAAAAACTAAAGATGAGGCTTTTGCTAAGTTTTTAGAATGGAAATCTTTAATAGAAAACCAAACCGGTAAGAAAATTAAGAGACTTAGAACTCATAATGGCCTAGAATTTTGTAGTAATGAATTTAATAAGTATTGTGCTGAAAATGGCATTGCTAGACAACATACATGCACTGGTACACCAC